ACACCATGTGCACCTACGATGCAGCCCAGTACAGGTATCTCGGGGACCCCTATTACGCACTTTTGCAAGTTCACGTATAATTGGGCGTCACCCAGAGTCTGCAACACAGCGTCTAAATGATGCTTGTGCGACTCTATCGCGCTCAGACCGTCCTCCGTCCTACTATGCACGAATACATCATCAAAGTAATGGGGCGCGTAGGCACGGTGCTGACGCATCACGTGAGTCACCACTCGGTTGAATGTTGCCGGAGCATTTTTCAATCCTTGTGGCATCACAAGCCACTCCCACAGCACACCGCTTGGGGGTGCTTACTGCCGTTTTGGCTAAATCGGTATCTCTCATGAGAACCTGATAGTAGCCATCCTTCATATCCAACGCGGAAAAGATAGTTGACTTTCCCATGGAATTCAAAAAAACATCTTTCCGCGGGATCGGCGTTTGAGCTGGAATGGTGGCCGTGTTCAGCTTATTATAAGCATGAACCACGCGCCATCCACCTGTTGCTTTGCGCACACAGAAGGTCGGGCTGCAGTGAGGCGACTTGCTCTCACGTACATGTCCCGCTTTAGTTCGATTGTCGAAGAACTCATCGATGTAATCGACTTGTTCCTTCGGCAACGGCTATTGCCTGGTCACACAATACTTGGTGCCAGGATCCAGGTCAATTTCGTGCCTGATGCCCCTATCGGCCGGTAGGCGGCTCGGCACTTCTGCTGGAAACACATCACGGTGTTTCCACAGAACATCATAGAACGGGCTGTCCTTCAAGTCATCCCAGCCTTGAGCAGCGAACCGTTTCTTTTTGTCGGTCTCCAAGACGCTCTCATCCATTGTGGATGAAGAGCAACAGTCCACCACGTTCTCTTCTGGAACTGGTGTGACTATCTCGTGGATCTTTTCTTCCTTTAGTTCGGACAGGACAGATCCCACGTCATCTCCGAGAGATTTACTATCTCCTCGGCAGATGCCAAGAAAAGTTGGAGCACCTCAACTGAGGATGCCTCCGGCATTTTGTCTTCGACGGCCTCGAACAACTCGTTCGTAGGTCCGTCCTCTTGGACCGATACTGATCCAAGGGTCACTCGTTTCGACGTGCCCTTGATCGTCTTGATACGTCTGGTGCTCGTTCTTCGATTCACCACGATTTTAGACCTGGAAGAAGGTGTCGTTGCTATCTCAGCTAGCGTACTCTTTCCAACCGCACCAGGCTTATGGATCTGTGCCGGTTCTTGTGGTACTTGACTTCCTGTCATCCCGCCATCAACTGCCACAGACCCTCGGCTCTGTGAAGGACTATTGGACGCATGACTACCTGTCATCGCCCCATTCACTACACCGTCTCCTCGAGCTGTGTAGGAAGATGTGTCACCTGGCTTTCTGTCAGGACACTTCCAACTACTTCAGGCTCGACGAGCTGGGCAGTACCTGGTGCAGATTTACTTACCGTCATCGCACCCTCGACTGTGCGCATGCATCAGTCTATTTATGGTCGGTTGTTAGCCAGCCAAGGTACATGCCTAGGATGAGGTCATACGGACTCTCCATACCTAGCACTGTGAACTTCTCTTTACAAGAGAAGTCACTGAAACTGAAGGCGAGTTCAACTTGAACTCCCTCCGATTTAACGAGTGCTCCGTTTGCTAAACGAACGATCGCCTCTTCTCGCTTTCCATCCTAGCAAAGCGACTCATAACTCGCCGGTCTCTTTTTCAGAGCCGCGAGTTTACAAAGTTTTGTGATGCACCCGAATCCACGAGAAGGGTCATCACTTGGTCATAGCCTCGTACTCGAGCGCTATAGACCAAAAGGGTTGATTTCCGACCTTTCGGAACCTCAGGGACTATGCTACCCATTTGTTCGATCACTATGAACTTAGGGGTAGCTTCAGAGTCCGCGACAGTAGGGCATCCCGTCCCTACTGCGCTCCCGCATTTCCCGACCCATCTTGGGCAGGTGCTGAACCCGTGCGTCGTGCACGCTGGTTTTCGCACCTCCCTTCGGGTTGGGAGACCTTTAGATGGCTGCCTTAGCACCAGCAGCAACTTTTGCATAGCAGTGAGCCATCATATGGCCTCGCTTGCCTCACTTGTAGCAGATCACATCTGCATTGCCTAACTCCATAGGAGTGGCATCAGACTTCTCGGACGACGGCCTGTAATAAGCTGTCGCCAAGGCGCTGTTGTAGGATTGCTCCTCAACTAAGGAAATATAAATTGCCTCTTCCATCGTCGCTGGCACCTTTCTAAAAAGGGCCTGACGCGATGGGCCATGCCTAAGTCCATTCATGAACGTGGCTACCTTGATACGCTCTGGTATCGGTTACCCATTAATGGACGCCGACAGCGAGCGCATCTCCTGCACAAACTCTTGCAGAGAGCGTTTCGCCTGTCGTGCTCCAAAGAAGCGCGCCATAAGCAACACTCCATTGTTAGGCGGCTGATACATGGCGCGAATCTTTGACTTAAAGATCGCCCATGATGGAAATGCATCAGCATTAGCCATCAGCGCAGAGTATGATTACTCTGACGCTTTGCCACGCAAGTTGGACATGGCATACGACACCATTCTGGTGTCGTCTTCGATGAGCTGCGCCACTCCACATTGCTCCACTGCTAATAGCCAGTGAGCAATCGTGTGAGGGCTAGTTCCATCGAACTTCGGAGGGTCCATCCGAATGGGCCTCGGTTGAGCAGGTCGGGCAGAGAGCGTCTCAACAGTTCTGTTGAGCGCCTCATTACGTGCCTGCTCAAGCCTAAGCTCATCCTGAGTCTTAGTGATGGACTCAGCGGTGGCTTGGCTGTTTACCTCGGACGCGTTCTACGCTGTCCGAGCACAAACGCCTCAAATTGCTCCAACTGAGCAACATGTTGCTCAGGAGGACACTGCAAGAGGTTGAACAGAGCTTGTTCACCAAGTCCCTGCGCCGAATGCTCTGCTAACTCCCTGCGCCGAATGCTCTGCCAACTCCCTATGATGTTGGGAGAGGTGAGGGAAGTCACTCCAGTCCATATTAAGGACCATTTCAACCACACGCACGCTCAGAGAGACGGGTCGTGGGAAGGACTACTAGTTGACGGGCACTTCTACGAAGTTGCCTCGTACTACTAGCACACACCTTATGCACAAGCGAGGAAGCGGTTAGACCGTCTTACCTTCGCGTGCGAGGGTGGTTAGGAGGTTGGTCGACTGCTTAAGCAGTCGTACCACCAGTTGCCTCTCGCTTAAGCGAGAGTGCAACGAACTTCTTAACACTAAAGCACGGACGTCACGCAGAAGCTTTGCAACTTCTCGTGCGTGATGCTTTTGATTTAGCAAATTCAAGACTGAGCTATATTTAATTAATTATAACTAAATATATGCTTAACTACTGATTGGCTATATATATATATATAGATCGGATACGCGACTCTTTAGAAGCGTATCCTGTCGCATGATCTTAAATCTAGATTTGAGATTGCAACTGACGTCCTTCTGAGACGTCGCGATGCCTAGCTTCAACTAGCGTCATCCCTTCTCATGTGAATCCATCAATGGATATCACATTCACGAGGGTGGATCACATTTGTGTATCGCACCCAAGTGACAGGTCAAAAGTAATCATGGATACTTTTAGACCAAACATTAAGTATATTACTTAATGTTTACGTGTAACTAGATACCCTGTTACACTACTAAAGCTATCAAATGTAGACGGGCATTTCGTACAGAAGTTGCCACGTACTACGCGAGCACACACCGCTGAGTAGCGTGAGGAAGCGGTTAGACCGTCCTCCGCGTGCGATGGTGGTGGTTTCGAACGGCGCTTAAAGCGCAGTACCTACCGTTGACAGTCCCTTTGAAGCGAACCGCGCAACAAACTTTGAGACAAGCACCTACCTGCGTCACAAAAGCTGTTTCCAGACTTCTTGTGCGCAGTGAGTAAGATGTAGTAAATTCAAGACTGACTTATATTCAATAGAAATTGACTAAACATAAATTTAACTACTAATTGGTCAATTATAAAGATCGGATACGCGTCTTTTTTAAAGCGTATCCCTACGTGCAAGCTTAATATATATGTCAGCTCGGTGATGACGTCTGTTTGAAGCGTCACCATGACGCCTATTCCCAACTGGCCGTCATCTTCGTTGAATGTGAATCCATCCATAGATATCACATTCATGAGGGTGAGTCACATTGATATGCCACACCCAAGTGGCAAATGTAAGGTACCACGTACCCTTTTAGACCTGCCCGTTAAGTATCATATACTTAACGGACTCGTGTAAGAATTAGCCCGTTACATGCTCAGTCTTTCGAAGAGTTTGAGAACGTGGTTTGAATTTAAAGATGAGCAATGCAAAGCTACGCATTAAAAAGGGTCATGCCATTCGGACTATCGTCAGTACCGGCCGCAGAATGCTTTATTACGACAGATTGAACATGCGCTTTAGGCTTAAGCGGCGATGACGGCCATCTGTAAAAAAAGGCTGAGGATTAGACTAGCTTGAGCTTGACCGCGAAATCTTGGAAATAAACAACATGCCAAAGAGAACAATTTTAAATTGAATAAAAGTGTGCGACAAGACAGTAATAGTACTGATGAGAAGTAAGTTAACATGAATTGCTGTCTTGAGTCCTTACCGTGTTACATTACTACAGAATGAGATTTCTTACGAAATTGAGATCCCTGCGTCGGCTCGTTTTGTCCCTTCCCATAAACTTTTGCACGATGTGCGTGAGTATAGAAAGGTGGAGCGTTTTGCATACTGCAAAGGCACTAGTTGATCATACTTTGATAGTGCTGCATTCCTCAGCCGCATGTTCCTCGCTTTGACAATTATCGGGTAGCAAGGATCTATGTCATCAACGGGTCAAGACCGGGTTTTTGGGTTTCGGATTTCTGGAGGTACACATTTTGGCAATGGTCCAAAAAGTCAAACTAAATTTTGTGACGTTCAACAAAGCAGGTACACATACAGAGCGAATTATTTCGTAATCTTTAGGGTTTTATTGATATGGAGTATGCTAAAAGTGTGCGTAGTGCTCTACGCCCTCAGACGCTATTTGTCTCTGCGTATCCCGTACTTACTGCCGTCAGTCTCTTGCACAAATCCCATGACATCTCCTGCTTCCAGATGGACATGTTTGTCATTCTCGGCTGCGCTTTGTTGACGCAATCGATAGGGAACCTTAGCGCAGTATACAGCAATTTTCAACGGACGTTGCAGCCCAAAGAACCTGGAGCGTCGGATGTCAAGATCGTCCTCAAGTGGGTACATTTTTTATCATTTAATGCGTTTATACAAGAAATTTGTTTCATACCTAATTTAGGGTACCCTACCGCTTCATTTCTACCCCTAATGTTATATATTTTTGTGTATATGTTGTTTGTACAGTTTACTGTCATTGACTCAAGTTCGACGTTGGTCGTATCTATTATACAGTCTTCAATTGACTTTGCTTGGTTTAACGCATGTCATTTGTGACAAAAGTATTGGACTTACAGGAGGAATGATGCTACTCGCAACATTGACATTAATTTATTGTCGACGTGGTGAAGAGCCATTGCCAATAGTTGGGCTACGTGAAGCTGTCGTAGCGTGGGCTGCTGGGCCTGTAGCTATGTGTGGTACGGCTTTTTACCTGGTTGGGGAGGTGCCATGGGCTATTGTATTGTATGCATACATTGTGATGCTTTTCACATGGGCGTATCTACTACTTGATAGTGCACGAGACGCGCCGTTTGCACGAAGCATGGGGCGTTCTGACACATCGTTGGCACTGATATTGGGTTTCCAGTATTGTTTTCAGGGTTTTTTGCTCTTGATGGTATCGTTCTACGGTCTTGTTCTGGTAGTAGGAATTGCGATGGGTCATCTAGGAAATTTCTTGCTGCTGTTGACTATTCCCAAACTCAAGGACATCAGCGAGGATTTCAGACTAGAAAGACTCAATCTCTTGCCGGAGCAGTTTGCTCGACTTGCTGCATTTCTGGGATTCGGACTCATTGTCTCGATTCTTGCAGGACTAACATAGTATTTATTGCCAAATGCAGATCAGAACTACTGAACGATGCGGTGGCCATTACCGTCCTGTAGTAGCTTTTGTTCGTAGCAATGTGTCATGCGATAAACTACATTACGTGTTCTCAATAAACCAAAGGCTGTGATTGGGGTCGTAGATACAGTGCGTTCGAGTTGCGTTATCGAGCAGGTAAATCATCCGCCGGAGAATCCCTATCCGGTGAAACGCCAGCACCTGCACGTGTACTCTTTCGCAGCACGCGGAAAAATGCTCGTGCCACTGTAAGCGGTATGCGAGTCACGGGTGAGGACGCTGCCGATGACGAGACGGTCGCTGGGGAAGGAAGCGAATTGTTTGCTGTATCGCCACTGGCACTAATCTTCCGCAACGAAAACCCGTGGAAGGCACCTCCAAAACGCGAGATTTTGGACCACGAAGTGGAACGATGACGTACGCCATTATCATCCTGTACAGACGCAGCCACCTCGCTGATACGGTTGATTAGCCACGAATGCCACACGAGAAATGGGACTTCCTTCGCTATCACTTCACGGTACCACATGTCAATCGTGAGGCGGCTCGACGAATCAAAGCAGCGGTCGATCATATTGTTTTCGTGGATGATGCTTAATGCTGTCAGATGGAAATAGTGATATAACTTCTTGCGAGAATCTTTCTCCGATTCGAGCACCTGAACACACGGGCCGTCTTCAGCTGCAGTGTTAGTTGAGGCTGTCGCAGCGAGAAGAGATCGTTGTCGTTTTATTTTTAACGGAGGAGGCATGATCCGATCTTTCGCGTCATTCGCACGACACTTGGATTCAATATTCTTGACCTGAGTTGCATCGGATATTACGACCGTCTCAACATCCTTTACTTCAATATTTTCGTCGCCCTCGTCGCTTTCTTCATCGTCACGATCTACACTTGCCTGTGAGAAATAGGAAACGTGTTCCAGCAGCTCCAGTTCGCGCTGAAGCCGTTTACACCGTGACTCAGACGATAGCAGCTCCTCACTCATTCTATTACTCTGCACCAGGGTCTCGTGCTTCACCTCTTCTGCAATACAAAGTTGCTTCTTCAACGCTCGCATTTCTGCCTCATGCTGTTGTGCCGCTTTCTGCAATGCGTCTTTCTCGTTCTTAAGTACACTTATTGTACGTTGAGTAGCACTCAACTCTTGCTCCATTTTCTTCCGGTACAAACTTTCACTTTCTGCAGTCAAAACTTCGCACTGAAGGACCTGTTGCCGCTGCTCTGCCATCTCTTTCCACTGTCGTAGCGACTTAAGCTCCTCTTCCTTTGAGTGCTCTATCACTTCAACTTCCTCTAATTTTTTCTGAAACTGAGCAATCGTGTCCAAGTGATGCGAGCATTTCCTCATTGAACCCTCATTATCACTAGAAGCTTCACTATCTTGTCCACGACACTTGCACCGGTCAACAAATTGCTCAAATTCCTCCACTAGAATCATCTTTTCCTCTTCCACACGTGCAAATTTGTGCTTCCACTGCACCGTCTCCTGCTGTGCGTGTTCAGTACGTCGCTGCCAAGTGTCTCTTTCCACCGAGAGCTCCTCCGTCTCAGTCTCTAGCTGAATTTTAAGAGTCATCACCTGTACCTGCAACTCCTCATTGGTATCAAGTAGTCCCAGACCGTATTCTGCGGCCTGTTGAAGCTCCTGTTTATATAAAACAAGTAATCAGTCAAAAACAGCTGAAACTTCTTCTCTTGGTCTTCGAAAAGGTCTTACACGTTCGTAACGGTCTAATAGTAACTTATAATTATCCAAACGGCTCTTGTCATCCACAGGCACATCAGCAATTAGTCCGTCTTCCCTGTAAATAGAAAAAAATATACAAACAAGAATACTAAATTGAGAAATAGTCAGCGCGTAATTCAAAAAAGGAGCTACAGTTCGCACCCGACGTAAAATTCTCCCTCCGTATCTTTAGAGTTGAACGTTTCATGCTTCTCCTCGTGTAAGTAGCTCTCCATATTCAGCTGAGCATCAGCAGGAAGACGCTTTATGCAAGACAAATAGAAGTGTCTTGACGTAAACACTATCGACGGAATCAGTTATGACCTCTTAGTATTTATACCTGTGTAAATCGATCAAGTCATAATTTGGTGCTCTTACAAAAGTACTATATTATAAAACGTATAAGTTGTTTTTTGCTACAATTTATCCGCACTTTCTTAATAATAATGATAAAGCAGCAACAACTCATTGTGATTTTTAGATTTTGTACGCGGATTTCAACAGGAAATTGACTGGATAAAATGAAGCGAATGCGGTATTATACATTACAAGTACAAGAAAGTCGTTTCACATTGATGCTCTTAATTTCCTCTTCTCTTTCCATTTCTTACCTGTCAAACATCATGATGCCAAGCTCATACTGATGCTTCATAAACAAATTGTAGTAGGACACGGATCTTTATATTACTACACAAACACCTTTTATCTAAAGAGAGCAAGCATTCAATAGCATCGTCTGAGAAAATGCGCATACAACTTCAACTTTGATAACTGAAAGAAGGCGGCAATGCATTTTGTAATAACATCAACACCACAATGTTGATCATGTCCTATAAACTACAAACTTTGATGCATGTCCTATACATTTTAAGTATTCGATAAAAAGTCATTGCACATAGAGAAACTCGACCAAAATGAAGCATCACACCGTTCATTTAGACCAAGGAAAATGTCCCCAAGTTGAAGTTCGTATCGAATCTTTGACACAGAATTGTGCACATACAAAATCCCATACACCGTCCTCTGCGCCACTTATTTCTCACTGTCGACGTCGCCTGCGTCATCATATCCGCTTTTTTCACCCAAACAACAACCCCTACCCCCTCTTACAACGAGATTATACCAATGAAATCGCTCCATTTGCCGTGAAACATTCACTCTTGAATTATCCGAGTGCACGCGCAACATGGTGCGTCCTCTCTCTCTCTTTCTCTTCCTGCCCTGTTTTGAGCTTCTTAGGCGCATTAAAGCTATAAAATTGCCAAATGAAGTCACTAACTTTATTATTGTATACGTTTAGGCTTCAAATCGGGTCAAAAACGCACTTGTAGAGACCGTAGAACTCTTAAGTTCGAGCTCTGAGAGTGAAGTGATTGTGAGCAAACGTACCGTCAATTCCCGACCTCAGCTGAAACAAAAACGTAATCAATTGATAAAAGAGAGTGATGATCAGACGTCAGACGTTGCACGACCGACAAAGAGACGACGTGAAGCGACGAAACAAATCCAGGTATCTTTTTATGTACATACTATTGTTTTTTATAGTTAAATATTGTTGTTGTTGTATTTAAAATATTTTCATAACTTGTTTACGTAATCATTGTTGTCATGTAGTATTTTTTTGATGATGACGACGATGAAGAAGATGATGATGATGATGAAGAAGAAGTGGATGAAGATACTACTGAAGATTACGTCGACCAAGTGGAAATGACGGAGGAAAATCTATCGGAGGAAGATGATAACCGACGACGGAGCGGACGCAAGCGCAAGTCTGTGCAGTTAGACAACAACTTGTCGGATGAAGACTTTATCCTGAGCAGTGATGAGGAGGTGGGGGAGAAATCAAAATCCAAGTCCATCTCGAAAAAGAAGGAAACAGTAAAGAGCAAGACGAAGAGCAAGCAGAAACAGACTGACTTGAGCGATGAATCTTCTGGTGATAACAATGTGAAGAAAGCGATGATGGACGGTTTCGTTATTGAAAAGGTGCTGGGCCGTGAAGTGCACACGTTGAAGGAATGGAAGAAAATCTGCTGGAAAAAGGATACGCGCTTCTTGACACATTGCTCCATTTTCATGCCAGCCGAGGAAGAGGAAGAACTCCAGGAACAGGAACAGAAGGAGCTTCAACACGGCGAATTTACTGCTACAGGCAGCAACGAAACACCCTCTACGAAAGAGGCCAACATTAATGATAACAAGATTGAAGACGCTGGCGAGGAACGTTTTTTGATCAAGTGGAAGACATTATCGTATCTCCACACTAGCTGGCAAACAGAAGATGAATTGATGGAGACTGATAAGAATGCAAAGGGAAAAATCCAGCGTTTTCGCGAGAAGGAGCAGCGTGCCTTTTACGCCCAGGATATACAAGGAGACGAGTATTTCAATCCGGAATTTCGCAGTGTCGATCGAATTCTTGAAATCAGTGATCGACCGCTCGATGATTTTCTTCCCGATGATGACATAAACGGTGAGAGCGGATTCCAGTATTTCTTGGTAAAATGGAAAGCTCTACCTTATGATATGATCACGTGGGAGCGGGAAGATGATGTCGGCGATGACGCGGCTGTGGGTTTATACAATGATCGCATTTTGAGAGCGGCAAAGCGCTACAAGAAGGTTGCTCTTGCAAAACACGCACCGCAAAATAAACACAAGAACTTCAGGGGCTACACTGCAGAATCGCCGCCACCTTGCAAGAAAGAGCAGCATTTTCAATTGCGTGATTATCAGCTTACTGGTGTCAACTGGATGCTTTTCAATTGGTACCAGAAGCGTAACTCGATGCTTGCTGACGAAATGGGTCTTGGTAAAACTGTGCAGACTGTCATGTATGTCAATCATCTTGCAGTTGTTGAGGGAACACCACGGCCATTTATTATCGTGGCACCACTTTCGACGTTAGGCCATTGGCAGCGCGAGTTTGATAGCTGGACCAATCTCAACGCTGTCGTATATCATGGGTCAGCTGCTGCGCGAGAAGTTTTGCAAGACTACGAGTTTTTTCTATCGGAGGATGAGCTACAGCGTGCTGAAAAACTGTCGGGAAAGAAAACGGCGAACAGCAATGGCAAGCGGCCTCTGCGACCGAAACGCAACTGCTACCGCTTTGATGTGTTGATCACGACATTTGAGATGGCCTCGGCTACAGACCTTTACAAATTGGCTCAGATTGATTGGCAACTACTGGTTGTGGACGAAGCCCATCGACTAAAGAATCGCAATTCGAAGCTGTCAAACATCCTACACACAAGGTTTACATACCAAAACATGCTGCTGCTGACAGGCACACCGCTTCAAAACAACGTAGAGGAGCTGTGGGTGCTCTTGAACTTTCTCGACACGAAAAAGTTTAAATCAAAGGAGGAATTTCTTGAACGCTTTGGAGAGTTGACGGATTCAGCACAGGTTGAACGCTTGCACTCAGAGCTGAAACCGTACTTGCTTCGACGAATGAAGGAGGACGTTGAAAAGTCGCTTGCGCCGAAAGAAGAGACTATTATTGAAGTCGAGCTTACGGTGCTTCAGAAGCAGTATTACCGTGCAATTTACGAAAAGAACACCGAGTTTCTTACAAGAGGCGGCAGGAAAGGAGATATCCCAAGCTTAATGAATGTTCTTATGGAGCTCCGCAAGTGTTGCAATCATCCTTTCCTTGTAAAAGGTGTTGAGGAACGCGAGGTGAAACGGCTAGCAAAGCAAGTATCGGAGTCAAAAGAAGAAATTCAACGCCAAATTAGCGAAAGTCTCGTGGACACTTCGGGTAAACTAGTTCTGCTGGACAAGCTGCTTCCTCGCTTAAAAGAAACTGGTCACCGCGTTCTAATTTTCTCGCAGTTCAAGATGATGTTGGACATCATTCAGGATTATTTAGCGCTGCGTCGATACAACTGTGAGCGCATTGACGGTAACATTACTGGCAACGACAGACAGTCAGCGATTGACCGCTTCTGTCGAGAAGACAGCAACGCGTTCATCATGCTGTTGAGCACTCGTGCAGGTGGCGTTGGTATTAACCTGACAGCGGCCGATACTGTGATTATATATGACAGTGACTGGAACCCGCAAAATGACCTCCAGGCGCAAGCACGCTGTCATCGCATCGGTCAGACAAAAAGTGTGAAAATTTATCGTCTCCTGACATCTAAAACCTACGAGTTGCACATGTTTCACAAAGCATCACTGAAGCTGGGGCTTGATCAAGCAGTTTTGGGAGGCATTAAAAATGACGACCCTGTTGCAAAGCTCAAAGGAGTAGTGAATACAAACAAGACGAATGATCGTATGTCAAAGGAGGAAATTGAAAGCTTGCTTAAGCACGGTGCGTATGAGATGTTCAAAGAGCAGGAAAGTGATGCGGAGGAAGCAAGTAAAAAGTTTGGAGAGGAAAGTATTGACCAAATTCTTAGCCGAAGTACCACAATCGTCCACGATCCGACCCGAGATGCGGACGGAAATGAGAAGAAAAACATAATGTCCTCTTTTTCTAAAGCAACTTTCGTAAGCTCAGCTAACCCAGACGAGGAAGTTGACGTTGATGACCCAAATTTTTGGACCAAAGTAGTTGGGTTGAAAGGAGTCGAGGAACATAAAAAAGAGGAGCCGTCACCCTTGCAAGCAAGACGCTGCCGTCGAAAGGTGAAATCCTACTTGATCGACGACGACAAGGCCGATATGATGGAGGATAGTGGGGATGAGACACCCTCTTCGCGCAAAAAGTTGTTCCGAGGGCTAGGTGCTCAAAATGACGAAGAATTTGTGATCTCAGACAACGATGGCGAGGACGAAGACGAGGACGAGGATGACTTGAGCGACGTAGCGCTGGCTAAAGACGAATCAATAGGTGCCCTTTCCAATGGAAAAAGAATGCGCACTAACGAACCGGTGTTACCAATCTACTCACACACCGAGCGAATTGTGGATCTCCTGGAAAGTTTTGGATATGGGCGATGGAACGACATGAAGCGCTGTGCTCCATTATTACATAGGTACCCGGATAGTATGCTGATTAAGTTTGTGCAAGACTACGTCTTAAGTTTGGTGCGAGCGACAACAGCGATGACAGTCTTTCCTCGTATTGGATTAGATCTCGAGCCTAGCCGAGTGTACATTGTCTCGCCCACGGCTCCTTCGCCGCATATGGGAATTGCCGCTCCAATTGAGCGTTATGCCCATGAGTTGACCAACTCATGCCGTCGATACCGTTTTCTTTCAGCAATATTGAACGACATGAGGGTAGCCAGTCCGCTGGCCGTCGCTATTCCGCCACGCATGTGGATTACAGATTTTAAAAGTCGAGCAACTCGTGGAAGCCGCACGAAGCTCCAACAAATCGACACAATGTACAAGTTAAACGAATTTGTGAGCGTAACGTTGGTGCCAATGTTACCGCTCGTCGCTTTGATCAAGGATCTTCAAAGGGTTGGAGATGCATCCGAGGTTCATCGAATGATTGAGTCGGGTAATGTTCCAGAAACTAGTGATGCAACTCCTGTTAGTAAGATTGAGGAATCAGCGCCTGAAGGCATGAAACCTACAGACACTGTGTCGGTGTCAAACACCAATGGCATCGAAGACACAAACAAGAACGACAACGTTTCAAGTCAACAGCATTTTTCTCCGACCGATGAAATTCAAGAGGTGGTGCTTGCTAAGAGTGAGACAAATGCTCAATTGAAGTCCATGAAGCTCTCACTAACAGAACCTCCCCTGTCAGCATCTTCAGATAGTGCTGTTTCCGGAAAGGCAGAACCGGAGGCTTCCTCTGCGAGCACAGCAGCAACGGAGGTTGCTACCTCAGAGGCTTCTTCGGGCACCGTGACGACCAATATTTTAGGTTCTTCTGGCAAGGAAGGTGAGAGCGAAAGTATAAATTCGCCAATTCCAAGCGTCAGTAACAATCATAACGGTGCTTCGGGTGAAGATTCTGAAGTTTTTAAAACCGAGGACAAGCCCCAGACGTCTGCGCAGGGCAGTAGCGTTGTTGCAGCATCCGCAGTGGCAATAAAACTGCAGGAGGATTCAACTACAGCAAGAGCGGAAGCTGAGCGCAAACAGGCTATCCGAATCCTCCGAGCATTAACGCCTGTGACCTCTCCTGAGGCGGTAGCACCGTGGTGGATTCCTCGTGTGGATGATGTTCTACTTATGATGCATGTTTACTGTCATGGATGGATGAAGGGTCGAAGTTTACCCATTAGGATGGTGGAGGGGTCGACTTTGTTTGGAGACCGTGCTAAGCGAGTCCCACTATCTGAGTGGCCTTCAGTGGCTATCTTTAACCGGCGCCTTAAGGTAATACTACAGGTGTGGACTGCTGTGAAAAAGGCGAAGCCCGTTGCACCTCCCTTGACGCCTACTACTGCAGCAACGGGCGTAACTATTGCGCAGCAGCCCCGAATGCAAACCTTTCAGCATGAGCAATTGCAGCTACAACTTCAACGGCAACAACAGGAGCAGCAGCGTGCTCAACAAGCGCGCCAGTACACAACTTCTTCGTTACATGGCTCACGCCATAACCAGTTCGCCAAGCTTATCTTTTCGTACGGGATTCCTGATGTGAGCACATGCCGAGACGATCGTGAGCGCAACGAGAAATGGCGCTATTTTTTGCAGGATAGCCACCTTGACATTGGGCGCTTTCCACTGGAGGAGCTGCTAGCGGAAGCACTGGACTTGGAGCGTGTGTGTCGCCAGCGTCTGCACAGTAACACTGATGAAACAGGCACTGTATATAGCGAAGAGAACTCAATTCTGGGTGGAAAAAGAGGATTTTGGTTGCTCACGACCACACAGTGCCGGCGGTTACTGCATCGAGTGGATCTTTTCCGTCTGCTACGCTCGCAAATCCTTGTGCTACCTCCAGCTCAGCTAGTTGAGCTGGTTAGCCGAGTCGTCCAAGCCCAGGCGGCGTCCACGGACTACCCTGTTTGGTGGAGTTGTCCACGACACGATATTTTACTTCTGCAAGGTGTTGAATGTTATGGTCTTGACGAACACCTTACATCCGTGTGGAAGCTGCCTCTGTTCAGCTCAGTAAATACGACAAGTGCCTTTCCTAGCTCCAGTTGGGTGGAAAATTACGTCACTGCCCTTGGTCTTGCATGTCAAAACCTGATTGTAAAGGCTCGGTTGTATCACCCTGATGATGGATACGTTAATTTGAACAACGGTGAAATGAGGTCTCCAAGCGACAGATATTCTGCTCAAACTGACCCAACCGAGGAGGCTGAGATGAGACAACGAGCTCGAGAATTTTGTATGATGCGGGAAGAAGACCCGTATTTTGTTCCAGCAGTGCGTTTGCGGCAGCTCATCGATACTAACGCAGCTCGGGATAAGGCATCGATATCTATGAAAGATCTTTTGTCTGCACAACCTGTTGTTCAAGCGGGTCAGCATATGTCGACACCGGCTAATGATACCGTGCGCGTACAAACATTTTGGGATGCACAGACCAAACGCGATGAGAATGAAGTAGCGAGGAAGAGCTCAAGTGGTAGCAGAGACGATGGAGAGAAGAGTGATGTCAAAGACGAAGAGGAGCAAGCGAAGGCAAGTGGATGCAGTGATCAAAAGGAGGAAAAAGCATTGCCTGCGTTTAATGCCAGCGTAATTCATCTTGACGACGACATTAGCAACGGTGTTAGAGAAGAGGAAACGAAAAGTGCATTACCGCAGGCATTACAAGACAACAGCTCAGTACTACGCCCTACTGATGCTACTGCAGCCTTAACAGCAAATCGGACAAGGCTAGCACGTGGTGAAAAGGAAGGTTCAGAAGCTGCTGTAAAAACTGGGGGAAAGCAATCAACTGCGTCCTCATGGGAAGTAATTGTGATCGACTCTTCTGACGACTCCGATTAGAGGAATGGTTTTCATGAAGCGGAACGGGTCGACCAAATTATGTGTGCATGTCAGAAGAAATAGCTTATGGCGAGTTGACTTCGTAGATGGCTTCTTTGCCTGTTAAAAGCGGATTGCATGTGACAAGTTTTAGTGTATCGGATTATTGTGCGCTTGTAGAGAGAGGTAAAGCTAGAGAATCACACTGCATTATCATAGTGGACAAGACATCAAAGCATCGTTACAGTAGAATGCACTAGGAGGATACAGAGAACTAGTTCAGGTGTAAAATTCTTCTTAACCACGTTAAACTTATGCTTTCACCAAGCAGAAATACTTGCTTCATATCATTTTCATTAGCCACGCGACTATTTTTCATACAAGATGATATGATAGATTGCAATGTCAGTCTATAGCATCAGATGCTGTTGCTACAGTAGAAAATGAACCGGGAGTCGTACCCGTAAATGGTGTGCAGATAATGGAAATCACCTACGGCTCCAATCTCACCCCACACAAGCAGGTATCCGATTTACTACAGCGCCATGAACGTATTCTGTGGATCTTTAGGACTGCAACTGTCCCTAGGACGTTAACATGAAGGCAATTGACGGCCATTTAGATGTCATTCAACGCCTAAGACCTTTGAAACAACCAGCGATTTCAGTAACTGCTGCAGCTTACATTAGAAGCTTTTCCTTCTTCCTTTCAGGATTCTCGTAATATTTAAGGCGTATCGTGTTACGCATCTGATGACTTCATCCGCTGCATGCAGGTTATTATTTCTAGTGTGAATTCATTAAACATTGCGCGTACAAAGGCACGCCAACACAAGCAAAGATAAGCTTGCGACAATGACACACACAAGCCAATGATCGATATAGTAACACAGCGCTTTTCAAGCACACTTCTGAAAAGTATCGTGGCTTTCAAGAGACAGTCAACTCGCCGACGCACATGTACTTCAGCTTTATATATGACATCGCTTTTCTGCGGTCAGCTTACACTTGTCTAGTTGCGCTTCTTACATCGCTTTGGTAGACGCCTTTTGATTAGTACAGTTTACTACTATGACAAGGCTGCAAAGTTTCCACAGCATGTACTTGCGGTGGCGAAGATGACGACGCTATGCTGGCCACGCTCTCAAACTGTTCGAATCTGTTGTCGTCGGTGGAGTTCTGCGTTTACAACTGCCGACATGACGTATTTGACTAGCTACAGTTAGTTTATTTGCCATCTGAAGGCGTTGCGTTGTTGCTTAGCTGATTGCAAGCTGACTCACCGTTCCCATGCTTCATTACCACATCAATATCTATGCTCAAGACACCAAAGACTGCAGTTTGGGTCCTATAAGATAATCAATTCAACACAATGTGCCCCTGGTCACCTCGCTAGTCGTAATACCATTCATCCACCTGTCTATCGGCACGGCGCCCGTAAACTCCATCTCATGATTGGTTCTGTCGTCTACATGATACTGCAGCGCGAGGCCAGGCCACCAGCGCCAGACGAATTTTGTTGCTGCTGAGCCGCGTCGCTCATCTTGACGGCAAATGCGTGGATCTTCCCATAGACAACGCTGAATACAGCAGGACAGCGCGGGTGGTTGACAAGCGTGAGAATTGTGCCGTGTAACGAGCGGAAGGCCTCTTGAAGCTGTGGCGAGACCATGTAGCGGATACGCAGCACCTGCCAGTACAACACAAGCAGCAGGAAGTTCCGCGATGGTAGGAGCATCTCCAAAAGCAACGCGATGCCTATCGCCACATCAACATTTGCCGCCACTTGAGGCATGCGAGTGTACAATTTGGCCCACTTGGCACGAGTCGTCAGTGTTGAAAAGCTGGGGTCAGTGATGATTACGGAAGTGAGAGGCACGAGTACCTTGCTTGTCACAAGTGTCACCACCATCGAGTCTGCCAGTCCCAGCACTTGTAGGAGCGAATGCAAGTATGCAAAATAGTGCACCATTTCCAGCAAGAAGACCGGGATCATTGCCATACCATGTGGATCCGAGAACCAAAACACGAAACAGAAGAAAAAAACCTGCACTGCAGGGTCCAGCATGAGCCGCTGTGCATAGACAGCACTCCACCTAGGGACTCCGTGAGTGAAGGCCAAGTAGCTGGCGTGGTTGATCAATGCCAGCTTGAGAAAGTTGGTATACGCCCCATAGCTCGACAGTAGAACAGGAATCCAAAAGTTGACAAAGCAAAGCAGTAAGAGACTGCGCAGCACGAACTGGTACAACTGAAACATATTTATCTTGCTACCAAGCAGAAAACTTTGCAAAGTAGCTGCTGCAGAAGGCGGTGAAGAAGTCGAAGTAGACGCTCCATATGAAGTGCCAGCTCCTTGTGTCGATAATTTGGCTTCCACGGATCGTAAACCTTCGAGAAGCCCCTCGTTTGATGCTTCATAATTTAGACCGTCTTTGTAGGCTCGATAAGCGTCAGCATAACGATGCAGAGCGTACAGAGCAGAACCACGACGTGAGTATCCCTTGGGCCAGTTGGGTTTGAGCGAGATACACTGGTCTGCGTCCTTGAGTGCCTCCTCAGCCTTGTGAAGCTTGAGCTGTGCGGCTGAGCGATTGCTATAGAAAACATGAGCGTTGGAAGCGGAGGGGGCAATGGCTAACGCCTCGGAGAAACAAGCTACTGCATCGGTGTAGAGGCCCGCAGAGAAGGCGCGATTACCGCGGTCTTTAGCTTGGTCAGCAGCCATAATAGGTTGACGCAGATCGAGAAAATACTGAATCTAAGTGTAAAATACCTTAACATAATTCAATGGAGTGAAATGGACTAAAGTCGTTTATTACTTCGAAATTGTGTCTAGTACATAAAAAACATGATTATATTCATATGATGTCTCTTCTTTGATCGGCATAAATAAGCTCATATCGTGGTCATTCTAATCGGGTGGAGGTAACGCCCTCTCGGAAACCTTGAGCTTGCATGATGCTAGCTCAAGCATATGACGGTCCTCTTCCTCTTTCCGGATGACGTTGCTGCATCTTCGTCGGATGCACAAACATAAAAACCAGTTATCGATTGGTTTCGCCTTTTAAGTGAATAAGCTATATGTGGCGAAGTGAAAGAGTGAATTTCGCCAAGTGTGATCGCATATTTTCGGTTAAGTCCGAAATGGCCAATATTAATGAGTCGCGATCTCGTGGCCAATATTGATGAGTCGCGATCTCGCAGAAAGGTTTCAAGACGATGTCAAATAGGATGGAAAACAGTGAATGGAGTAGTTTGCACTTCTATGTGGGGTCAAATATGGCCTAGAAACTACGCTATTGCGATCTCCAGTATTTCCGATGGCGATCCGCGTGAACGCGGTCGCTAAGGAGGAAGATGGGTACATCCAAGCATGTGGAGGACGGTCTGGTGTGGATCACGTCGCTATGGAGGACTGGAATGGTGGATATGAAATGTCACATTGATGAACTATCTCACATGACCTGAGAAACGGTGAAGAAGACAAGTCGTGATCCGGCGGATCGCGATCCGATATTAATTATTTAGTACCGCGATCTGGTATTAATTATTTAGTACCGCGATCTGGTACTAATTATTTAGTACCGCGATCTGGTACTAATTATTTAGTACCGCGATCTGGTACTAATTATTTAGTACCGCGATCTGGTACTAATTATTTAGTACCGCGATCTGGTACTAATTATTTAGTACCGCGATCTGGTACTAATTATTTAGTACCGCGATCTGGTACTAAAATGGTATTATATCCGAGTGAGGTAGCGATCCAGATCGCGGCTATATTGGAGTGGACCACATTCCGAGATCTGATTTTTTCCGAAAGGGCGATACGTGGCAACAGATCCTGAGCTACAGATAGTCAAGATCATAGGTTTTGGTATTTGATTGGTTAACATTAACAGAGTTCAATTTGCTTCTAAGTACACGTGTCGACTTCTCTTCCGGGCTGAATTCTTTGGCCTCCCGACGTCTCAAGGAAATCTACCTACTACGCAAGTCATATCCCTGGATTGTTTGGCCAGGGATTGCAAGAATTCTCAACAAAACAACTCAAGCTGCGATTGGACGCAGAGGACTAAGAAGTCCAGATACAAGATCGCGAGACGGCTCAAGTGGTCAGAAGGCAAGCGGATCAAGTATCTACATTTTGGACAAGGCGATCTCAAGGGAGATCAGGGCGACTCAAATAGAGCACCCCAAGAACAACTGCGATCGTGTGAGGAATTCCACGCGATCGCCCCCCACCTATCCCTAACACAACCAAGTTCAACATCGACTCAAGTCTACCGAGAAGAGAGCAACCCGCCCTACCGACGGGTACACAAGGTGAGGAAGGCTATACACACGGAATCGGGGTACCCCCTCCGTTAGTCGGTCGTCCGGGCGCCAGTGGAGAGTTGGAATCGCATCAGCAATTTTGCGAATCCCACTCCACCACAATGGTGCGCGTGCCCGGATCTTCTGGTGACTCGGGATTTCAACGTGAGTCCCTGAGAGAAGATGTAAAGGTCAAAATTGAACCTGGGATTGAAGCGTCAGCGGCAAAGGGATCACCGCAGACGTGTGAAGAAAAAAGATCCCCGGATCATCAGCGTTTTGGGAGGGCCGCAGATGAAAAGAAAACCAAAGAGGAAGATCAAGAGATTGATCTGGCAGAAAAACCTTTACCCCCTCCCCAGGTCCTTTCGAGGACCCCTGCGGATCGCGTTTTGTAACCGAAAAATCCTTCGGTTAAAACCGAAGGAAACTTATCCAAAACCACTCCGAATTCGAAGAAGAAGAAGAATTCGAAGCCATCTCGAGTGAAGATGAAGGCGCCTGAGTCGGATCATGATGATATCGACATGAAGCCAGCGCAGGAGGAAGACAAGACGAAAGGATGGCAACTGGATCAGCTGGAATGGTGTTTTCATTGGAAGGCGCTTAAAGATCTGTTGTCAAGCGATCCCGTTCTAAAGATTTTGAAACCGAAGTTGATTGGATCGCTACGAGGACCAATTTCAGCTCCCATTCCGACAC